AAGAACAACTGTTCTCCAAATATTAAGGCTACATTCTTATCACATCATTTTAGTAGTTCCATGGATGTCAGTCAAGCTGCCCACACAAATGGTTGAAAAGTGTTTTTGTGTTGATATTGATTGCTATAGGACTGTGATAATTTTTTGTGGCTTGTTAGCTTTAAGTCTGAATTAAACATAATTCTTACTGATGCTATTTTTACTATAAAGTTGACGATTTCTTCTATCTTTTCAGAATATATGGAGTGTTTGTTGTACAAGAAGGAATGCAGTGGAGCTTTTAAGTTACATATGTCTGGACAGAAGCTTTGTAAGCCTTTTGAGGTCTTAGAGAATTAAGGGTCATTGACACCATCAAATGGTGACACTTGTTTATCATCTTCACCAGGTCCCAGAAGTATTGTCTCTTAGGTCTCCAATTCTAGTGGTACACAGAAGCTACTGATGGATTACTTGGTTATTGAAAGTGGCTTTGCATGCACTGGAAAGCTAATGAGGGTAGCAATGATATTTTAAGTCCTGCACTTAAAAAAACCCCAACGCTATAAAATTCCTGTATAAGTGTTTAAGTTATAAGACATCAGAATAACACATAGAATTTGCACTTGTTCATCTTCTGAACAAGTGTAAAGAGCAGAATACCGACTGGAATATAAGCAGTACATTAGCTAAGATAGATTAAGGACCTAAATAATTATATTAATATAATATTTAAGAAAGCAATGTTTATAGCAAAATATCTGTGCAAGATTATAATTTAATGTTTGTGCCTATGCATCTTATGAAAGTGGAACTGAAGTGGTATTTTAAAACGTCTATAAACATTGAATTTTCTACTAAGAAAAAAAGTTAAAAACTCATTATGGCATGCAGTGGTAGTGTCTACTGAGCAGTGTTTTTGTTACTGTTCTACACAGCTAGTTTTGAGAGCTTGCTGTAATCCTGATTAAGCAAAGATGCTCCAAATCAGATTATACATCTGGTAGCAATTAGATGGAACAGTTACCATCCGGAGACATAGTATTTCCAATGGAAAAAGAAAAAAAAACATATTCTGTGGTGTAATGAAGTTACAGTTAGACGTAATCCTCCTGTCTCTTCATAAACTATATTCACACCCTTTTATAGTTGTTGCATTACCCTTTTTCCAACATGTTGAAATGAAGAATGCCTCATGGATGACAAAATTTTTTCAGACTGTCATGTTTTATTGAGTATTTTGAAAGAAGCTGTGGAACTATTTTCATTGTGATATCCGAATAGAGAAAATACAGGAGAATCTTTAGCACAAAGAGGATCATCTTGACCAAATGTTTGAACAAAAGCAAGAATCAATGCCAGGAGATAGTTAATAAATAGTCTCAGAAGGTGAGCGGTGGAAGCTCCATTTTAATATGTTTAAAATTTGTATCACTAAAGAATTTCGTTTGGAGGATAACCCTACACTGATAAGAAGATAGATTAGGTGACCTACGTTCCCCACCCACATTTTTATTTTATGTGGTTCTGTGAGTCTCTTGACCAATCTAAGCAAACAGAAAATTATATAAATGAAATATGTAAAAGGTAAATAGAGTTTAAAAATAGTATCAGAGGACTTGCTGAATGAGATGTTAGACACTGCTCTGAACAATGGCTATCTGAGGTGAACCTGGTCTGGTGATTAACATCAGATGAGATTAAGCAAATGGATTATGCAGTTTTTTCTAGCTGAGCGCACTTGGAATAAGACTAAGGGTGTTTATTTCATATGGCATAGACAATCACATGTACAATTTATAAATCTCTGAAAACAAGCTAACTACTCTTTTATTTACATAGGACGTGACTGTGGGTGAGTACGATGAAATTATATGCAATACTTACCAGCTATATGGCATTAGACATATTATATATTTAGAACAAAGTGTTCCACTTAGTGTCTTTATAAAATTTAGCAGCTTTATGCATAAACTTTGAATGAGTGGTTTTGTTTATAAGAATGCAGGCAAAGGGATTAAATTCCGAATTCTGTTTTATTTTCTTGCAGAATAAAATTCTTGACTTTGCAATTGCCAAAATATGTTAACAGACATTCTGTATCATGTCATATCAGCTATTTCTTAATTTTAGAATAAAATAATTTAAGTATGAAAATCAATACTGTGTTTAAGATGAAATGAAGTTATTACAGTATGATCGCCTGTAGTATGGAATAGTAACTTCTACAGTATGTTGAGTATTCATTTGTTGAAATGTTTGCTATTTGTCAGATGCAATTATAAGGTATCTGAAAGATGCATAAGCAATTTTCACTATTAAAATGAATACTAGAAAGTATTCATGGTGTGCTATCCAACCATCAGTTCTTTCATACATGGTGTGCTATGCAACTATCAGTTCTCTGCCAAAACTATCTGGTTTATCATTCATTTTATGTTTTGCTAAGGAAAACTTCTTTTTCTTAGTTACTTTTGTGAATTCAAATTATTTCATGTTTATAATGAAAGTTGTCTTTTTTCTTTATATGTATGTTCTCTCCTTGTTTGTTTTAGATTTCATTACTTCCACAGTGTCAAGACTCAGTCTTATAATTATCTTTATGTAAACTGTATTGTATTTCTCTTCCAAATGTTGATGCTTACATAACTGAATATTTTGCACAAGTACAAATATCCAGAACAACTTCTGAGAGACTAATTCAAAAGCGATTATTATCGGTAGTCTCATGAGAAAATCCACCTGTTTCATCTCTTGTAAGAATGAATAACCATACAGTTAGATGAAATTCCACTCCATTTTCATAAAGGGTGAGAAGTCGTAGTACAGAGTAGCTGAGGAGCTATGTCTGTTCGTTTCTGTCTCTGGCCATTAGTGGTGATGACTTAACAGTTTTCTCCCCTTCCCCAGAGATCCTGGACTGGACTGTTAGTGAGCTCAAGTCTTCTTGGCCAGTTAAATGGGGTAACATGACATTCAGTTCACTCAAGAACTTTACTACTGTCATTGCTGCTTTCATTGGAGTAGAACATTTGCTCTGCAAAGAGAGTGGGAAAGTTTGTGTTGCAGCTAGCAATAAAAATGCCTTTATGGATTTCCTCTGAGAATATCAGTATAAACAGAATGATGCATGACGCATAAATGGCTGGTTCAAATTGTGTTCCTAATATTAACTCACGTGTCAACCTCTCAGTTTAGAATTGTAATGAAAATTTAGGCAGCTAATGAATAGATGTGTCAAAAAAGGTGAGCAACTATAGCTCTCAGTGATTTCAGTTGAAGTGGAGCTCCTCCCTACCACAGAAAGGAAGCCATTTCACTAACCATCATGGACTGGGTTGTGTAAGTTGCTGCAGCCAAGCTTGAATATGTATTCCTGCATATTCCTTAATTAAATACAGGTTTGGTTTTTTTTTTTTTAAGTTTTAAAATTTTTTTTTATTTTAAATGGAATTGTGATTACCTAAATCAATCTTTGTGTACATCATTCTAGTGCAGACCTGTTTAGTTATTTTTCAGTTTTAGCACTTAGAATAAGTACAATTTACAGCATAAATAATGTATTAAAAGGAGACATTTCTTCCTGTGCTCTGATCATTGTTCAAAATAACAAACATTAAAAAAGTTATTAATTCTTAGTGAAGGCAAAACAGCCAAGCTGAAAACAGTGCATTACTGGAAAAGCTGTAAGAACACAGTAAGATAAAATCTTGTCAAATCTGACTTTATTTGAACCTTGACTGTCTTGAAAAATAGCAACATTTTCTTATCAGTTTCAGAACTGATGTATGTAGTAGTAAAATAGTCAAAATATTGTTTTCCATAGCTTCATTAAGAAAAATATATAGTAGCCAGAAGAGATTGTTCCATTAGTCAATATGGCAGCTACATCAAGGTGACATTGTCAAAGAACTTAATTTATATTATTTTGATGACAAACATATTCCCTGAGACTGCTATACAGCTTTTCAGTAAAACTCTGCTAAAACTGCTTCCTTGAGGCTGATTAGTTGACTAGCCATTTCTACCCTGTGTTCCAGTCAAAGCAAGCCAATCATTAAGATAAAGCAATTTTATTTATTTAAAGGGTTGTCATTACAGTATCTGTATGTAGATTGGATTCAAATAGAAAGATTGTAGTGAGAGTGCTCTATTTTCAAGCATGAAGTCTATCGATACAGTTGTCAGAAATAATCTGTTGTTTAAAAGACCAGTATTTAAATGTTTCAATTTAAAGGCTACTTCTACTGAAGAATACCTGAAATGTTTGTGTCTTTATAAAGGATTTAAAGATTTTTCTCTTACTAAAAGAAGTCTTATTTGATCAGTAGTTTTTCCCTCGATATAAATGCAAATATTGTAGTGGTTTATGTATCATGAAATATAAAACTTATAACAGAAAAGCAAATGATCTGTCAATTTATGATGCAACAACTGTAAAACATGTTTTGGGCCTTATTCTGGTATAGTTTACAGTGTAGTAAATCAGGAGACTTTTCTCTGACTCCAGTGGATTTGCCCTGGTACAAAACTAGTATATGAGATCAGAATGAATCGTATTGTCTTTCAGTTTTGTTATTTTGGACTGAGCACGGCTCATGCCTAGGCACAAATTGCTCGCTCCTAGTAAGGATTTTGCTAATATCTTAAATATGAAATGTTGTCACTAGCTTCATCCTCAAGAAAGAAAACATCTAATTATCATTCTGGACTGACAAAGTACCTTCTTCTAAGGAAAGGTCTCTTGTACCACAATGATAAGAGATTTGAAATCACATTGGAGAGTTTTGGGAATATTTGCAAGAGCAGCTATGCTAACTTAATCCGACAGTACTGGAGTCTTTGTGGAATTTAGAGGTAACAGCTTGGATCCATTTAAATCCAATGATTTTTGGCACAACTTGCTGCTGTTGGTTTCTTATAAATTCTCTTTCCGCACCTTTCAAAAAGAAGACCATATTATTACTAGTCATAAGAAAAGTTTTACAACCATCTTCTCTTTCTTCCAGATTGCTGTCAAAATGAGTGAATCACCTTCAACTAGTTACTCGGTGAATCAGCCAAACTCCTCCGAGAGTGAACACAGTTCTTCCATGCGCCTTTTCAATGTTACTGAACCTGTTGTAGCAAAACGGATCTGTTTCTATAAAAGTGGAGATCCCCAGTTTAATGGGATCAAAATGGTCATTAATAACCGGTCTTACAAAACATTTGATGCCTTACTGGATAGTTTATCCAAACGGGTCCCATTACCTTTTGGAGTAAGGAATATTAGTACACCAAAAGGGAGACACAGCATCACCAATTTGGAGGATCTTGAAGATGGAAAATCTTATATTTGCTCCCATCAGAGGAAAATGAAGCCCATCAACCTGGAACAGGCTAGCAAAAAGCCACTGCCCTGGCAGATCAGTAGACCTGTTAGCGCTCGTCATCGAGCTGTGCAGTTAGCAAGGGAGAATGAAGATGGATTTGGTCATCGAGAAAGCAAAATAACAACTCCCAAGAAGATGCTTGTTTTCAAGAATGGGGATGTAAAACTCAGACACACCATAGTTCTGGGAAAGAAAAATACACAAACCTTTGAGGCCTTTCTGGATTATATGAGCGAGATAATGCAATATCCAGTCGTGAAACTATATACCACTGATGGCAGAAAGGTGAGAATAAAGATGAGTGCTGACAATTCTTCTATGATTGCTTCTAGATTATTTTTCATTAAAAAGGTGATTTTATCAATTATAAGCTTGGGACACTGGCCTGGTGTAAGACCTGATGTGCTGAATTTCAGCTGTTTCCTTTCTATGCCTTTTCCCCTTCAGAAAGGCTACTAGCTTGGAGGAAATATATTGGAATCTTGCAATCAGATAGAAACAAGTGAGGACATTTTACTTTAAGTCATCATGAAAAAACACTTTTTCTTACTCAGGCCTCTTTCAGGCATGCTCTCAATTCTGTATTTTTACCCATTTACACAGAAACTTCCTTTAGTCTTAATGCTGTTTATCTGTGATTTTTAATGTTTTAAAAATACGATAAGTAGCATCTAATAGCCACACATATTTTATCATTACATAAATGCAGAGTGGTTTGCCATTGATGACTCGGAACTATGACACCTGATTGTCTATGATAGTTTTCAAACCATGGATCAGGTTTTGTACCTCTAAGCCCAGATGATGCAGCACTAATAGTCCTGATTTTCATCTCACATGCTGTTTTATATAATTTCATCTCACTTAGTGTTTTATCTGTATGTTTACCACAGATAAACCACAGGTTTTATCTTGTTTAACCACAGAAAAGCACTTGTGATTACACCTAACAGGTATCTAGAAAGGGAATTCCATGCAGAACTCCACGAGTTCAAGGGAAATCTTGTGTTTACCCTCCATTTGGCAAAATTCTGTATTACGTTGGGAAACTGTCCATATCACCTATAAGTCAGTGAAGTGCAGTTTGTAAGCCTTATCTTGCAATATATTTTGGAACATAAATTCAAAACTGTTAGACAAGGCTCTGAGCACATTGACCCAGTCAGACCTGCTTTGAGCAGAGGATTAGACTACATGACCTCCAGAGGTCTTTTCCAACGTATATTGTTCTGTGATTCTGTCGTATTCCTCTGTGGCAGTACAGGTCAAGCACTTGTGATGCATTCTGAATTTCCCTTTTCTTCCTCCAAATATGTGTTCATATGTATACCTACCTCCAAATGCATATTCTTATTTCATGGCTATGAACAGTCACCGTGCAACGATGAAACAAAATTACATATGCAAACACTTAAATTATAAGAAAATTTTGATCTGGATCCAAGTTGGTTCTTGAAGTCTTTTTCTAATATATTTATGTAACAAGACATACCCTCACAGAGATAGGAATGGCCTTATAGGAATTGAAAAATTCCGTGCTGTGATACATATTTAATAGCCAGCTGTAAACTAATGTAGAGACTAAGAAGTGAAGATACTAAAGCGTGAAAGGGATATATCTCTTACATTATTGTTTGTGGTTACTAAGGCAGAGAATTTAATGTTACTTTTTTTTTTCCAGGTTCCTAATCTTCAGGCCCTGATATTGTGCTCTGGAGCTGTAGTCGCAGCGGGGAGAGAGCCTTTTAAACCAAAGAATTATCAGTCTGTTGGGTATTCACAACCTGCTAAATTGCTTGGATTTGCAAATCGCGTGTACCCAAAAGCAAATGCCAAGTCAGAAAGTGAAAATAGTAAGTTCTTTGCTTTAATTTGTGTTTTATTAATTGGTTTGTCTCTCTCAGCATAAGATGTAAACCATGACAATCTTACTAGGATCAAGGTTATTCAAAAAGGTCAGTTGAAATTGTTTATATCTGCTCTGACTCCTCAAAGTGTTAACGTTCTTTTTAAAATGTAGGTTTCTGCTAAGTACTCAGCTAGTATGCATATTTTCTTTCAGACAGACTTATTTGAAGATCTATATGTATATTTTATTTTAATGCACTTAATTGCCATTGGTATTAATTTTTTGGTGTCACAGTTAATAATGGCAGTGGTAAAACCACAGGCTACTTCATGCTCTTAACTGACTGAATTTCTCGAGCAAAACTTTTGTGCAGTTTTCAGAACTTACCTTAGCAAGTGGAGGTTTGACCTGTCATTGTCATGACTTTCACTTTTTCCCATGTCCCATGCTCCACATAAACAGGAGAAACATTATAGCACCCATCCACTCACAAATTCATCATGTTTTGGAAGCTGCTTTTGTCTGTACAGAGTGTCACCCTCTCCTATATCCTCACGGCTGTGATACATGTTTTTTGGATAAGTTTGGGAAAAGATAAACAAATATGAACTTTCCCTTTGATTACTCATGGAGTTGTGCCACTGACAAGGTCAGTAAGAGTGTGAAGTGCCCAGTGGATGATCAAGAACATGAGGAGCTGTTGGAGAGAAGCCAGGCTAGCTGAATAGCCTGAGGTTGAGGGGAACAAAATGCTGTGGTACTGGAGCTTTATGTCATGTGGGAATCCTCGGCATCAGAGCATCCTCTAGGGCTAGGGGGACTGTCTAGGGGGAAACTTGTTTAATCCAGAGGTACTTTGTACTCTTGACACAGCTGCATGCTGTACTGGAGAGCCCAGGGAACACTGTAATTGTTTCTGAGACTTTCCATGGTAATCTTGCCTGTGTTATGGAGCACATTGATACATAAGACACTTGGCTTCCATTTACTTGAAGGAGTTTCTTCCACATCCCTCGCAGTTTACTATGTCCCCACCAAACTATTCATTTTAGTTTTTCTCAACCTTCATGTTCTTTGACTTGCACAGCTTGAGAGCTGTTTGCAGAGCATAACTAATGAGTCAAGAGAGAATGAATTGGAACATTTTGAGAATGAAAGTTCTGCAGAAACAAAAAACCCTACCCAAATTTTGCTTTGAGCCAAAGATTGAGCCTTGCAATGGTAGAAAATGTGAGTAGCTGAGAATTTGATAAGCTCCCTCTTCTAATCCTTAATTAACAGCAATTACAGAAAGAGAGAGAAAAAAACAGCCCTCTTTTTGTCTTTAACTTGAGAAATTCAAAAGTATCCTGTGTAGGAGACATCACTGATGATGTGAGAGCCTGAAAAATCAAATTTCAGGCACTTTGTTCCAATTCCATTTCCTGAGACAGAGAAGGTGAGATTTTTACTTTGGGAAGCATAAGGTCTGGTCTGTGTTAGAGGAGTTAGTACAAACTTTTATTTCTGATTCAGTTCATGGTAAAGCATATGCCTGGGAAACTTGCAAGGCACTCTGCCTGAAATTATAGACACGTATCTATAATAGTAATATGTTAACTGTGAAAGTCTTGATATGAGACCATTTGTGACTCACTTGAGCAAAAAAAAAAGCTTAAATTCAAGCAATGTAGATAAGTTAATATTACATGTGTTAAAGTACCTTTCTGCAAGTGAAACCTTTCTATTAAATGGTGGCTCCTATACATTTAGGTATCAGTAGCAGTTGTGGATGTCTTTGTGTGGGTGTACATGCACGGTTTCCCTTGTGCATGCAGAACTTCTTGGAAGACAGCAAAACTTTATTTTTATCTCATGTTCTTTTATCTCTCACCTCTTGAGTGACAACTGCTAGAGAAAGATGAGATATAATGTTTTTAAAAGCCAAGTTATTACAAAGTAATCAAAACATACTTTGGGAATATTTAATGTGTATGCAAACACATATTGGGACATACTCAAAATTCATTGAAGTCTGGAAGTATTCTCATTGGCTTTACTGAGTTTTGCGCCATCGTCTACAGTACTGTAGCATAAAATGTATCTCAGAATGTCATGATTTAAATTCAGATTTTATAAGAAGTTCAAGTTCTTCAAAGTTTACTTCTCTAGAGAAGGTCAGTCCAGGGGATTGGATCTGAACCCCTTATTCATGTGACACTACTCAGAGTAATTATTCATATGCTGTAGATTTTTGGATTAAGCCCAGGGAGATATATGTTCACCTTGACTGACACATTTTAGCACTAACTGTAAGAACTAACAGGAAATGATATATTAATGATTGCTAAGGCATGAAGAAGCAGCAAAGTTGGGAGCTTGAAGCCCAAACAAGCGGGGCCCTGTGAATCCCTTGAAAGGTTCAAGGCAACCTTAGCTCCCAACTAAGTATAAAATGAGAGCATTTAGTCCTTTTTTAGGCTTTGGAGCTTCAAATAAGACTATAGCTCTGGCATTAGAAAGAACCTGTTGCAAAATAAAATTAAGTGGAAAAGTAGTTAAATGCTTGATTGTTTATTAAAAATTGGTTATATTTCTCTCTCTAACAACTTCTTAAAATGAACAGCAAGATCAGCCATGTTTTTATCTTTACTTTCTAATACTCTGGTAAAATAAACACACTTCATTAGCTTCTTTTGTACTAATTTTTCTCCTTTCTTCTTTTCTCTTCCTTTGCTGCCTGTCTGCTGTCTCACCATCTGGATCCTTATGCATGATATTTGTCTGCTCTACTTTCCACCTACTGAATGAATTTGTGTTCCTTCAATGTAATTACTGGTAGCGATAGCTGAAATGGGCTCTAGCTCAAGATCTCAGATATTCACAGTTTCTTCTGATAAAGGGTCCAGCAATGATAACAACTCAAATGATAACAACTCAGATTCTTCCTATGTTCCTGACAGTCATAATGGTATAGGAGGAAATCAGTCAGTTACTGGTGAAGACTTATCTGTGGCACAGTATGAAGATGACATTGAGAAATCTGTTCACCTTAATCAAGATGGCAGTATCACAGTGGAAATGAAAGTTCGATTCAAAATTAAAGAGGCAGAAACCATTAAATGGACAACCACTGTAAGTCATGCTGGCCTTTCTGATGACAAAAATACCACCATTTGCAATTCTGCAATGCATGCAGTAGACTGCTTATCCAATGTAAATGTATCAGAATGTATAAAACCAGAAGATGCTCCATTTTTGAAGAGCTACAATAAAGAAGAGAGCGACTCATTACAGCAATTCAATGCAGACGTGTCAGACACAGAATCAGAGTCTGATTTAAAAACTGCTGGTTGTAATAGCTGTAAGAAGAACAATTCTGCAGATCTAGACGTAAGCAATGTACCTGAGGATAATATCAGGCCTCGCTTTTATAGGCCTCCAACCCCTGGGCCAAGGCGTGCTAGACAAAAGAAAGCACTAGTTGAAAGTGTCACCTTGGTATCTGAGAAAGACATTCAGGAGAAGACAATAGAACAGTTTTCCTACAGTGAGGAAATACAGAACAGAGAAAATAAATCTGAGTATTGCATGGTAGCTCATTCAAGCAGAAAAAAATCAAGTGTCAGTAATCCAAAGTTTAGTGAGATGAGTGACAATGATTTATTAAAGCTTTCTTCAGAGAATGTAAAAGAAGAAATGCTTTTCAAAGTAAGCCACAAAAACAATAATTTAATAGAAACCACAAATAGGAAGACAGTAGAAGTGCCTGATAAGGATGAATTGGTACAGAATATACTAGAGAAATCAGTTGTGGAACAAGGTACATATAATAGTTTAGTATCAACCCACAAAGCTAACATCAGTGGTTTCATATCATCATCAAAAATTTACCAGGCAGCTAGGCCAGGTTCAG